TATATATGAACCGCTTTTCACGCGAAAAAGATTACTCTCTAATAAATTGTATAATATACTTTCTTCTAATATTCTCTTGTGATAGATGTGTACATTCGGAGAAAATCGGTGCATATAGTTTTAGTTACCAAGATCAGTATGTTTACAGTGCTTTCATACACTGATAAATAATAAAAAGATAATACCGGCGGATAAAATTAGCAACGCGTGCATGTCAATTTCAGTCGGCACATGCGTCAAGACTTTTGCTCTATGTTATAAAGCTAGCATAAATGCTGACATATTTATAACTTAGTCTCTATCCAAAAAACAGCCATATTTGAAAGATAGTGAACAATTTTGTATGTTTTTAACGCGAAAAATTTAAGTAAATGCATTAACAAATTATAGCTTATAATTAGTCGAATTAGCGAAAATTGACTATATTCATGACGCGCTTGTCAGGCGAAAAACACACTGCCCAAAGATTTTATTATTTATTCTAGTAAATGTGTCATAATACTCAGTAGCTGCAATAGATTGGATACCTGATACCGTTGCACTTTTGGGAGAAAATAATTTACCGCCAGCATACTAACACGAATATTTAATCCGCTGTCTGAAAGACGTTTTTAAAAAAACACAATATTTAGTTTGTTTCAAGTGATCAGGATAATTTTTAGTTTAGGTTTATGCCTAGGCAGGAAATAATAAAATATGTAAGTTTCAAGAAGTTAGAATAAAAGCGCGAGATGAACTGTGAGATATAAAAAGCTCAAATATCACTTGCGTAATTAACGTTTTAACTTGTTTTCGAACGCGTCCGAAAATAATTGCGAAAATTTTTTTAAAACTGACTACAATTTCAAAGTCAACGTTTTTTGTTCATTTTATGAATGATTTCTTCCACACAGAAAGTTTGAAGGAAATCTGTAATCTTAAGAAATTCGAGTGGTCGGTTTTTACACGGACTGCCTCTTAATAAGTTTTTATTTTACAAGTACTGTACAGTACAACAACAGTAATATGTTCTATTAGCAATTTGATTTCAATTCGCGGGGGCCTGAAATCTTTTATGCTTAAGAATTATAAAGTGGATTTCTTAGGAAATTCCAAGGTTGCGTTTCACTTCCGAGTAACGGGCGGAGGTATGCAGTCTCTGAGTGCCCTCTAGTCTTAGTACTGCGTTCATAAATTATACACGTCCTAATTACGCATTCAGTAATATTTTTTTTAATTGACCTGGAAAAGCAAGACAAAATTTTCTTCATTTCTCGTTCAATTTTTAACCAAATTCAACCAAATTTTAATCAGTTTTTCCTTAGTCGATGGAAAATGCATTCAAAAAATTTCGTATGAATATGTTTGTTATTTCTTGAGTTATCGTGCTCACAGACAAACACACACACATACACACACACATACATACATACACATATACAAACCCAGATGATTACATAACCTCCTGGGGGAGGTAACCAGATGATTACATAACCTCCTGGCGGAGGTAATTACTGTATTCGATCAATATGGATTTCAATGCTACCTTGAACGAATGTATTAAAAGTTTGCCTTTTATCGATCGTCTTAATTAAAGACCGGCAAAGATTGGCGATTTTATTGCAGGGAAAGCAAGTGAACATGTAAGCAACTAACAACATAATTTCCTAAACACAGACACGAAATTAATATCAAATCATTAACAATATTCTTATGTCTGCTTTTGAAATATTTGCTGTATACAGTACATTAGGATGACGAGTTTTTGACCAAGTCCCTAGAGAGTTAAAAAGTTCCGTGAATGAATCTTACCTGAAAGAGTTAGTCTTTCTTTGTGGTGAAGTGCTGCATCCACAAGCGAAGCAGACCCACACCCTTCCTCCGCGTTGTGAAAACTAGTATTAAATGTGTGAGGGAAATATTAACACTTTTCAGAAAACTTAAAATAGTTGTCCAAAAACCAGATTGTTTAAGGACATCATCGGTTGGTTTTGGTTAGTGACAAGGCGGTTGGTCTTGGTTAGTGGCAGTTACCATGAAAATTTCGGAAGTGTTGTCTTGGAAATTGCGTAAGATCCACCATGTTTTATGCCGACCAGGTCCTCCAGTAGTATAGTATAGTTCAGTGGTTTTACATGTTTGTTTTGGACGCCATCTTGGAAAAGTAAACCACAATGTTAGACAAACGTCCGTATTCATCCTATCTTATCTAATTAGAACAAATTAATATTACAATGCCAAAATAAATCAACATACATTAATCATGCAACTTTCCAGATCTGGCGTGCGAAGGTGTACTGATGAGACGTACAACACAAAAACATGCCAAACATGTTCAGTACAATCATGTACATGCATAACATGTATTATAGTTCATTTAGAATATAAAATCCTCACTTGGATTTATTATGAAGAAAGCAAATTCTCAGTGGTGTCAAGTAACGAAGTAAATGTACTTTGTTACTGTACTTGAGTACTATTTTTGAGAAGTTAGCATGTAACAAAGCAAACTTTTTCTGGAGTACTTTACTTGGAACGAAGTCGTTTTAAGAAGTAACGTTTTACTTCGTTATTTTTATTTTGTGTACTCCTGTATTTCGTTACTTCCTAACTTTTGTTTAATTGTACGTGATTTGGTTTAATTTTTGGATAGGTAATAGGACCTCTACATGCGTCTGGGATCTCTCGTTTGTGTCTTACTTATAAGTATAATTTTATTTATTTAATGGATTTCTTAAGGGTCAGCAAAGTAGACTATGTCGTGAAATATTGCATATTTTTAATGCGTGTGCTGTTTTGTGTTATAATAGACTAGTCCAAGCCCTCTTCAACAGATATCTCTAGTGATACATCATACATGTCGCTGGAATATTGCTTAATTAATTTTTATATTGCACTCAGTGATGGTTGCTTTTCCCCCAAAATGACTTTGTACACTTTATCATCAACCTGCATCAAATCACTAAATAATCATAATAATATTAATACTACAAGTACAGTTTATTACTGCGGATATTGTTACTGCAATATTTGCCTTTTAGGCTCAAATGAATCCACATCTCTATGAACAAAAGCGGCAAATTGTCCTGGCAGTGCACCCTTTAAATCTCTCTAATTAAATTAAAATGCATCTATATAGGCCCTCTAGCAGGAATCAAACCTGCGTCTCTGCATGTAATTACGGTCCAGTGCTCTAAATATCTAAGCTAACAAAGTCCAGGTGTTGAGCTCTATAACCGCACATTCATATATCATAATTATACAAAAATAAGGGTGATGGTTGAATTTCTGCCAGAGGGCTTGTAGTATAGTGCATTTTTCACAACAGCTCCTGGTTAGGACTCATAAATGTACAAAATTTACACTCAAAATATTTATCTACAAAACCAACAGTTAGTTCTATTGAGTGAGATGCACAAAATCCTGTTTTTATTAAACGGCTAATTAAAAGCCTTTTATATTTTGTCTTAGACTAAGCACACTAAGGTTAGCTAATCTGTAGTGCATTTGACATTTCCATGAACGAAAACACATTATAATATAGCATTTGTAAATTCTGAACGCTGATTGGCTAAGAGCCGTGTTGATATAACTCGATGTTTACACGAGAAATTTTCCGCCGCTTGTAAACACGGAAATTTTTCTTATCCCTCGGGCTTTTGACATTGCTATATTATACATACAATTTCTCGTTTTCCCAATTCCACTCGTGTTGATATAACTGTATATCAACACGGAAAATGTTTTATATTTGTTAACTTATGTACAGTATATTAACTTGCTCTACAATTACGACAATAAAAACGTAATTGTTGTTATATAAAACATAAAAAGATATATAAAACAAACAGTGAACTCAGCCGAGAGATGAGCTGAGGGTAACAGACCATAAATAGTCAAAAAATATGTTACAATTTACTTTAACAGTAAGTAGTTATGTTTTATACAACCTTAAAATACAGGCTCATTAATAATTCATAAACCTTGTGGCAAATCATGTCAGCCATAATATGTCACGTGGAGTGACTTTATATCTGATAAAACACATGTGGCATTATATAATTGTTCATCTTAATTAGCATGATTATACTATGGTTCATCCTAATTAGTATTCTTTTGTAGTTGTATTTTAAGCTATTCAAAACACTCGTTGTCGTGTTTTATCAGATATATATCTGATAAAACACTCCTACTCGTGTTTTAAATAGTACATAATATTCTTAATACTCGCGTTTACCTGTAAATATTCGACATATTCTTCCTTGTTTATACAATTTTATATATTCTGGAATTCCACAATATTGGAAAACATTTATGGGATTTACCAAGCTCGCGAGCGCCTGCGAGCCACGATATTTTGGGAGAACCGAGTTCAATGATTGTTTTATCATTCACTTATAAATTTAATAATTCTTCCAAAATTGTTTTATCATTGACTTATATTCACTTCTTTCTTGCTGCTGCATAAAACTTGCGAAGGACGTTGGCAAGATCGAGTTTCTTTTGAGTCAACTAGATCGATCGTCTTCGTTGATTTGTCTTGCTTCTAAATACTGGCGAAAGACATTGACGGCGGTTTAGTCGTTTTTTTGTGTTTTCCGCGTTGTCCTCTTCAAGTAAGCAGGACAACTCATTTTCCGAAAGTTCAGCAAAGCGAGCCCAATGGTTTACAACAATTGAAGGCAATGCGCATGCTCGGACTTTTATTTGTAGCTGAGAAACGTTTTTAACAAATGCGCATGCTCAGACTATTATTTGCACGCAGTTATTTGCAGGTAACTTAACCAATCAAAATTGAGAAAACTATAAAGTGAATGATAATTACATTTACTTTAAAATATTTTCTTCCACATTGGTCATTTTGATCGTGGGAAAATCAAAGCCCGCGCAGTCGTAGTGAATTTATAAAATATATCATTAGATGCTACATTGCAATAATGCCGTCAACCAGGAGTTTTCTCTGAGTTTAACTGCTTGAAGAAACAAAGCATGCAAACAAGCTATCTGTTGTGTTTTCATTTAGTCGTTCAGGTGCTGGACAACAATGTTGTTATAATGGTGATTCATTAATAGTAGGCCCTCCTGGCGGTGGTTCATTTGATATAGCATCTCCTGTCGAAAACTTCTGGAGTCACATGGGACAAGATGTTATACCGTGGTGGGCTTGTTGTAAGTTTTCTGATAGCTGTTATAAATATTATCAAAGACGACCTTCCGATGATGGCTCACGATACGTACCACCGCCAATTGGTAAGTAAATTTTATAACAAGAAACTTTATTATAAAATTATTTGTCCATGTTTTAAGAGAAAACGAATATATTGTTTGTGGTATTACTCTGAAAGTTGATCCACATTGGGCAGGCTGAAAAGTTTGCCTGACTACGGTGGGAATCGAACACGCAACCTTAGGGATGCTAGTGCAATGATCTACCAACTGAGCTACAGGGTCAAGTTGGTTCGAGTTGGTAATATTTCGGAAGTGAGTTTAGTTCCTTCAAAACGACTCGATCTCGCAGCTTAGTTGGAAGAGCATTGGTCCCAAAGGTAGCGGGTTCTATTCCCACCATGGTCAGGCAAACTTTTCAGCTTTCCAGGTGTGGATGCACATTCAGAGTCACACCACAAACATCATATTAACCTGACTAATTAACACCAATACACACAAAAATAAAATAAATATATGATCGTTATTTACCGACTGGAAGGTCCGTGCAGAAAAATATTTTCCCTGAAGGGCAAGGGACACTTCTGAGACCGACGGAAAATGTTTTTCCAGTACGGCCGACCTTAACGGTAAAATTAATAGCGTATTTAGTTTTTTCCTCGATACTTAATTAAATTCCTAAAAAAATACAGTGTTTCAAACTAGATTTGAGATCAAACTCGCAAGCATACAGGCTCTCTACTTTCGCTTCCCTCACAAACACGCTCCAGCAGTGACTCTGGTACAGGATAGTCACGTGACGCTCTTTAATTAGCGACCTGGATGCTACTTAGAGAGTAGTGGCTGAATCATCGTTTACAGTTCACAGTAAATGCATTCTGAACGGATCGTAATGCGAATGCGATATACTGTATAAAGAAAAAGCCAAAGATGCTCCAAAGGCAATAAATCAGGCGATTGCCGTATGCGAACCGATTCAGTTCCTCGTGGCCAATTTTCCACAGAAGGACATTTTGAAGACATCTCTACACAGTTCTGCATTTCAGTCTAAGAACTCTCAAAATTCAATATGTTTTACAAGTAGAGGACTACAATCGGAAAATTTTACAATTACAAACGGGAAAGTAAAACCGCAACTGTCTTTGTGTTCGGCTAGGTAGACAATCGGCCAACGCTTGTTTATAAAACCCTATTCTTTAAAATTTGGGACTACCCACATTCCATGAACAAGAAAGTATAACTACTAAAATTCACATGCAGTCAGCTAACAGAATTATGTAAAACAAGTATTAATTCACGTCGAATCCCAAGGTCTTGTTTAGGGCTGCATAATATATAGCGGACCGCGGGACTATGGTGCCAGAAAAATGTTGAGGTTGGCAGAAAAAATGGAGGGTAAAACTTAAAAGTCTCGACAGAAAAAGGTAAAGAGAAAGAAAGAGAACTAAAAAACAGAAAGGAAGAAAATGAGAAAAAAAAATGACATAAGTTAATAACTAGCTGTGATGATGATGATGATGATGATGATTTTATTGATCCATCTTTAGTTTAAAAATACAATGGATTTACAAATATGTCTATTAAAAGAGAATAGCATAACTAAGCATGCAATGATATTTACAAACTATCTAAAATTTATATATATACAATTTGGAGTAAAAAATTTAAAAGTCTAGGAAATTATTTAAAAAGTTAATAAAAAACCAAGTTTGGTTTTAGTGCAATCCCTGTCTCATTGCTCGTGGGACAAAATTATTTCTGTGTTGTTCAGTGCCTGAGAAAGGTGCGTATTTAAATATACCGTCTCTACGCCTAAGATTATAATTATGTTTATTATGTTCCATAGTTCGTTGATAAAAGATATGACTTGGATCACCTAAGATGTTAACGAGTTCCCTCGATGTGGCTTCAATTCTTCTCTCTTCGAGAGTTGGCAGGTAACCATGCGGGAGGCCAATAATTCGTAGAC